CTTTCTATATATATATATATATATATATATATATATATATATATGGGTTATTTTAGGGTGCTCACTTTATAGAGCATTTTATAATTGTATTCAATAAATTTTGGACATTTATATACCTTTATTTTGTACATGGAGTATTTTTTAGTAAGGCTATTTTTGGTCATTAGGAAGGATGTGACATCATCCACATGGGGTGTGACATCACCCGCATGGGGCACACTAGTGGCATTTAATACTCCATATGGGTGATGTCACACCCCATGTGGATGATGTCACAAAATAAGTGTCCAAAATTTGTTGTGTACAATTATAAAATGCTCTATAGTGTGAGCACCCTAACATAACCTATAATATATATATATTGCTATTTTAATTTCAAAATCATAGGCAAGTGGACTTAGTTTTGACCCTGACTGAGTCAGGAAACAAATTTTGAGTTTTTAAATGTTGTTAAGCCATAACGTAGATATTATTATCGATCTCAATTAAGAAGATAACAGCAAAATGCTTCTTCACGGAAAAGAGGCAAAAATTCTATGATACAAATCACGTGATAAATTTGAGTGTAGCATGGACATGCATTGTATTTTCTTATTTTCCAGACTTAATTGACTTACCAATAATCAATCCCACTTTCAAGGGATTTCCCTTCTGTTAGTTTAAAACCAACTGTCAACTTAGTTTGGGTATTTTTCCAAAATTAAAAACTAAAAAGTCACAATGAAGAAGTAAATGGTGAAAATGTGTCTCACTTTTCCCATGGAGATAGTTGGTTATTTGAGAAGCCTAAAGCAAGAGAAAAGCCAAATAAGTCGAACAAAAGAGGAAACAATGAGGAGTCAAGTTGGACTTTACTTGGGGCTTCTTTTGGCTCTGTGTAGCCATCTCTACTGGGTCCTAATCCTTTTTCCTCTCTATTTTTCCTGTTTTGACTTGATGGTTTATTGTCAAATGAGTTCATTACTAGCAAGGTTCCTACCTAGAGGTAATTTAGCTATTTAAAGTGGAAGATTTTAGCTGTATTGACTTTTTGGTAGGAACAGTATTTGAATAAAACCTTCTTCAGGGACATTTTATACTGATTCTGTGGCTCTTTTCCATTTTACCATGAGGATATTCTTGCTGTCAACTGTTGTTGGTGGACACACAGGACATTGACTCGAATACCTGATGCTGTGCTCTTACCAACTTTTCAAAATCAATGCTGTTATGAATTTAGCACCTTCAATCTTGTCTTTTAGTCGTTCTTTTCTCCATAACTTCATATTCCTTATCTTCTCATTTTGCAGAACTGCACCAAGCCACCTGTAGCTGTGACGGTTTTCTTTGGAGCAAATGATGCTGCCCTTCTAGGAAGGAACAATGAACAACAACATGTGCCTATTGCACAGTACAAGGAAAATCTTTTGAAGATAGTTTACCACATAAAGGTTTTATATTACTCTATATTGAAAATCCTTGGAAGATACTACTCTATATTCAAGCCGATTCTCTCTCCAAATTTTGTTTTATGACTTACCATCTCAGATACGAGTATATGGTGGCTTAAATTCTAGAGATGCATGGCATTATGTCATTATAAATGTAGATATATCAAGAAACTTTTGCAATAGGTTCGAATTTTTATGTGCCAATTATGTGATTTTCATTAGATTCAGGACTGCTTATTGGCTTCGTATCCCTGTATCTTATATTGCTTAGGAATCCATTCCCGCAGTCTTAGTGGTGCTGATAACTCCTCCCCCAGTTGATGAGGTTGGGCGAATCGAATATGCACGGTATATGGCTTCCCTGTTTGACAATTAATTTATAACCACCTCTCTCACTTTCTTGATTGGGAACCGCATTTCACTAAATGATCTTTAGTTCTCCTGTTGTTCTTGGTTTTCGATAGTTCTATCTTGATTCCAGTGAAGTTATCACTTGTGTATAGAAGGAGTGTGAATAATATGAGATTGAGTCTATAGAATGAGCCTTTCCATCTCCGTGGTTTCTGCTTCTTCACCTCAAGCATCTGGTTGTCATTTATATGGCAGATCGTTATATGGAGAGAATGCCAAGCCACCTGAGAGGACTAATGAGATGGCAGGCATGTATGCTAAGACGTGCATGGAAGTTGCTGCTGAGCTAAATGTGCCTTCCATCAATCTATGGTCCAAGATGCAAGAAACACCAGACTGGCAAAAGTATTTGTGGTTGGTATAGAATCTCATAACTTTTTTCGACCTTGTGAAGAGTGCAAGGCGGCACCTCAATTTTGGACTTAAAATACCGTTGCCTTCTTATGCGAATCATTTCTGCATTGTCTCCTTAGTAATTTGTCAAGGCCAAATGGGAAAATACTTCTTCATGGGAGATTCTTTAATTAGTGATATGCACATTTTATGCTTCATTCAGGTTGATCTCAGCAGAACAAATGTTTGTGCTCATTGCTATATTCCAACCTGAAGGATTAACTTCACATTTACTTTGCCAATTTACTGAAACAACCACCCCTAGTGTGAGTTGTACTAGATAGCAGGAGTAGTTTAAGTCCTAGACCTGGGTGTTGTGCTACTTCAAAACTGTGTGTATGTTTTCGACTGCCTATATGGGGTCCCCATAACATGCATATGGCATGACTACATATGCACACATATTTGTAGCAATGTAGGAATGTGCATATATGTGTGCATATGAACTTTCCGTTAGGTACATATGTACATATAGAACAATAGACATTTGCATTTGTGTGTGTGCATAGAAATTTCTTGCTTCTTGATTTGATTAGCCAAAGTGAAGTTATAATGTGTTTGAAAATTTGTATTTTTGTGACTTAGTGATGGGTTGCACCTTACTGAAGAAGGCAATGCAGTTGTTCACGGAGAGGTTGTAAAGGTGTTAGCATCAGGCGGTCTGCATGCACCTGGAATGCCCTATGATTTCCCACATCATTCTCAAATTGATTTTGAGAAGCCTGAGGAGGCTTTTAAGAAGCAGCGGTGAACGTAAGGTTCCCATGTCCATTTTAGTATTATTTTTCTTTTGTGGAGCTTTTGTTTATTGGTTTTCATCTAGATTGAGGCTGTGTGCTTCTTCATATTCATGACCAATTCCAATTTGGAGGTAAAAGGCCAAAAACAAATTATTCTATTTTATTTTTTATTTTTTGTTTTTGAGCTAAAATTTGATTATGGGAGCGGTTCATTTGAATGCTGCCCTTATCCCTTTGTTTATTATGGTTCTACAGGCTTTAAGCTTTATTTATTTTAGAAATAGTGCAACCTAGTGCATCTCTCTCTCTCTCTCTCTCTGTCAAGTTTAGTTCTTCCTAGAAGACTGTATTGTAAGGAGGCAATGGATTACGGAGATGCGTAAGGGCATGTTGGTACTCCTGAAAATACTTCCATAAAAGTATTTTCATGTGAAAAAACTCCTTCATGTGATTAGGTGCGGGAGTTTTTTAACATCAATTGGTCCCAGAACATTTCTTTACCCCAATTAGCAGGCAATTGTTTTAAAAATTTCCCACACCTAATGGCATGAAGGTGTTTTCTAAAATACTTTTTAGATGTATTTTTATGGCCCAAAGTTTCTCTTTGCAAGTACCAATTGGCACAAAGATATGGGTGAAAAGGAGTTTATTGAGAACTTGAGGGCTGAATCAGTTGACATTCGTGTTCAAAAACTCAGCTCGGTCTCGGGACTCACTGCTGCTTGAAGCAAATAACTTGGATGAGTCAGTCATCTACGACCCCAAAATAGGCTCGATATTGAAAAATAAAATATAAATTTTTTACAAAAAGTAAAAAACAGTAAAAAAAAAAATAGTAGAAGTTATAGAACATGTAAATAATAAAAATTGTAAAGGCTAAGATCTTCAAATTCATCAAATGAATTGTTAAGATTCTTTGTTTGAGGGGATTCATTTTAACCATATCTAGGGTTCAAATTGAATTTTTTTTATTGGGATTGATTATTGAAATGAAGAGACTGTGTGTTCAACATTTGGGTCATACAAATACTGCAAACATGGTTTTCATAAAAGTGCGGTTGCATTATACTATAATACAACCGTTGCATTATACTATAATATAACCGTTGCATTAGATCATTAAAAGTAAAAAAAAATTTGATTTTTTTTTAAGATTCATCTATTTTTTATGAACACATGCCTAAATTTCAAGTGATTTGGATTTGTCGAAAAAAAATTAAAATTCAAACACTATTAGGCATTCGTGATCGTCAGATCGGCCCCGATTCAATCTGGGCCGTTGGACTCATTTTTACTTGTGAGCCATATATATATGAGAAAAGATCTTGTCAGCCCAAAGGCGTACTACTACAGTAAACGCCAACGGCTTAGATTGAATTTGAGCTGATCTGACGATCCTAAATGTCCAGTAGTGTTTGAATTTTAATTTTCTTTTCTACAAATAGGATTGATCTGAAATTTGGAGCGTGCATACATAAAAAATAGGTGAATCTTAAAAATATATAAAAAATATATTTTACATGAAAAAAATTGACCAAAATACCCTTGTAAAGTTTCGAGGGTATTTTGGTTAAAAAAATTACGGATTATTGTTTTTATATTTTTATTAGGTGCACATTGATGAGAAGAATATACACCTAAAATTTCAAGTAATTTGGATTTATAGAAAAAATATTAATACAAAAAGAGGTTGTGACCGTCAGATCGGTCTAGATTCAATCTGGACCATTGGCGTTTACTATAGCGATCAGCTAGAGGGCATACACAATC